GACAAACTGGCCAAGTACAAATGGCCGCGATGCCAGCCATTCCCAAGAACGCGATGGGAAAAGTCAACAAGAAACAACTGACCGCGGTATTTGATACCGAGTTTAAAGTATAGGAAAATAGTAGGATGGGTATGATTATCTATCATGTACGCAAGATAACACATTATCATCGAATTGCACCAAGTGGTTTGGTGTGTTTAGTAGTAAGCTTATGTATAGTTAGTATACACTAGTAGCTACTAGTAGTACTGAAGCTGTCCAGCACGTTTCAGTAGGATTGGGACTTGGAACCACAAATTAGTAATATAAGTTATAATATTGCGGCATCTCAAACCGAGAAATAAATACGTGTTGACTGTATGCATTGTTATAATACTAATTACCGTATACGATATGGATCTGTACCCCCCAACATATCAGGTAAATCTGATCGAAATGGATACAACTCAAAGTCAATTTCACTCGAATAATGGATTGGCCATTTCTTTCTACTTCTCGATTTGTTTGATTGGCTAGAACGATATAATTGGAGAATTTTGACCCATATAAAGCGCCTCTAAACAAATCATTTAAATTGACACCATACAGTAATTTGGGTACAACTCGATAAGGCAAAATCGTACTTCAAGTATTAATAGTTGGTTTGAATGATTTCAAAACCAAATATACTACTACGGTAGTCCTTGTGTTTGAAACAATAATATTTTTTGGTTCAATATTAATATCGTCTATCATCATGGTTGCTTGGATGATGATGATGGGCGGCTGTTCCAAATGGCAACTGGCGGGGCACAGGAGGCAGTCGCGGGTACGAGAACGACGGCAGGAGGGTACTACTAGTAGTAGGTCGCGGGCTACTACTAGTACCTACACCACGAGAAGACAGCGAGTGGAAGGAGCGAGGAGAAGGCAGGGAATTCGGTGGCGGCAAGGGCGGGAAGCGAAGAAGGGAGTTGCTCTGCACGTTCGTGAGAAACGAATGGCTGGACGAAGCTGCAGCTCGAGTGGCCATGGGATAAGTCAAGTCCTTCCCTGTGGGCTTCGACAGCTTCCGCTTCTTCTTCGCGTACTGCTTTTGGCACGAGTTGGCTTTGGCCTGGTGTTGGGCGCACAACGAATGCAGCTCCCCGTTTCGCTTCAGTGTGCGGGGGTTCGTACACGGCTTGTACACGTACTTGCAGAGCATGGACGGCGCCTCGGAAGTCTCGGCGGAGGTGTTGGACGGCGTCGTCGCGTGTACCTGCCCACCGGCATCGGACTGCACGCGGTGGTAGGTGTCGGGCAGCACATGGACGTCCCCGCTACATTTCACGGCGCGACAACTCGAGATTGGGTTGTGCGTGTATGCGAAGTGTGGCGCATCGGAAGCATGCGGCTTGTTCGCGTGCTGAGGCATCGGCGGCAGCAGCTGGTCGGTTGGGTTCTGCATGTGATGATAGGTGAGAAATGGCAACTCGACAGCATCCACAAGACATCATGGTCGATGCTACACTACATATCATTGGTGCCTTTGTATGGAAACTAACCGGATGTCTACAATCCGGATAATAGAACAAGATAAAATAGACATCTGAAAGGGGTAAAGGACATTTGAAAAGGGTAACCATACAAATACAGGGTGTAACGTTATTGTGCTTTCAGCCAAAATTTGGATTTCCGTGCTGATTTACCAAATCCATCGATCACACACACTAATTCGATGTGGAATAGTGAGAATTTGATTGGCTACTTGATTCGTGTGTTGTGTTTTGATTGGTCGATCGATTCCCTGCCGATTTGGTGCTGCTCAATCGATTGAGGATTCCGAATTGACTTCACAATACTATACGTGTAGTAGTATTCGCTAAACGACGGACACTACTATATTTGAATTTTGCGAAAATCTCAACACGTGATGTTCTTGCTTGTAGTCTATGATATCTCACTCCAAGCATCGTTTACGAGTCTTCTCTACATCGACGAGCCTACTTCACAAACAACAATGCAGGCAGGATGCTATAAGTAACGTTAGTGGAATTCGGAAATGAACGGTGCACGTGCCGATGGAATCAATTACGTTACTAGTACTAGGAAATCACTTTGTAAAATCAAGGTTCAATTCGTATCTATCGTTGCTATTATTACTAGTATTAATACTGTACGAAGGAAGCTTACTACTTCGAAGTACTGTAATTGTTGTAAATTCCGAGTTGGACGTTTAATAGTAAATTCCAAGTTTGATGGCCCTGTACTACTAGTACATACTAATGACAATTACTAGTACTAAGTAGTACTAGTACTACTTCGAAGTATTATAGTTTACTCCTATAACTATTAATAATACATACTACACCTTTTTGCAGTTAAGTTGGACGAATGCCCGATATATTTGGCTGTGCGCCCGATATATTTGGTGGTGTGCCCGATATAATTATGTGCCCGATATATTTGGCGATGTGCCCGATATAATTAGCCGTGTGCCCAAGTAATTGGCCATCTGCCCGATGAATTGTGCCATGTGCCCGATGAAAATGGAAATCACGCAATAAAAAGTCAATTCAATATAGAAATGGTCGTCAAACGATAGATGCAGCATCGTTGCTGTGATGTCACATACCAACGCCCGTGTTACCCATGGCCTCCGCGCGTCCATCGAATGTGCGTACCTTGAGGTAAATCGAAAAATGAGCTCTGCGCGCGACAGAATCAAATTTTTGGAGGGAGTAGAAGTATGGACGAAACGTTGTTGTAAACTATACTTTATTCAGTACTACGTAGTACTTCAGTACTTCAGAAGCACCGGTATACATATGGTAACGTAAATGGTCAATTGTTGATACATTTAACAGCGGTGACCTCCGTCGAATCTCCTCGATTCAAATCCAATTTCGCCTCTGAACTTGATGCTTGTAGCTGAAACGCAGGACTGCTTCTTCCATTAATAAGTATTAAGTTTTGCGGTAATCAACACGGTCAAATTTACATTTTCCAAGCAAAGTTACACTGATTTCAATCATTAATTTATGATACACAATTTAAACTTAATCTATGTATACTCAAATGCTTCGAAAGTGCGTGTTTAGGGTAATTCACAGATTTCTGCTTCCTGATTGGCTGCTTTGCGTATATCATAAATTGGTGCATTGTTTTGATTCACGACATATTTTCGTCGAATCAAATCATATTGTCCGGATAAATTGGGTTGGCATAAGATATGGCGGCGGCAGCTCCGATGGGACCGGTGGAGGAAGCGAAGCGGCTGATGGAGATGGAAGCGCCAGAGGAAACACCATATGTGCATCTGTACGAAGCACGCGATCTGCTGCAGGAAGCGTTGAACAATGACCCGTTGTCCATTCCGTTGCACTCGCTGCTGGGGCAAGTCTTCCTCGCCGTGGAAGAACCTCACACGGCGCAGCCTTGCCTGGAGCGAGGACTCAAGGTCGTGCCTGGGAGCGACGACCTCATCGCCTTCTGCAACGGCTTGCAGGACGACAAAGCATCCTTGGAGTCGTTGACCGCCGACTTGCCTGACTTCGACACCCCCGAGAGCTTGGACGCGCACCGTGCCGAGATCATGGGTACAGACAGTTCCATCTTCCTCATCATAAAAATCAATCCTCATGTCCATTAGACATCCTCAACCAGCTGGGCATCCTCTGGTTCAATCGATCATCGCACGGACGCGCGTACTGCTACTTTAAGACCGCCGAGCGCATGTTCCTATACAGCAGGTACTGTACGTTCCTCCACCACAGCATGAACGACCCTTCTCTCATGCTCCTTCTTCATAGCGAGCCTTGCATGCGACCTACATACACCCACACATTGTTCTACTTGGCGCAGCTGTATGGCCACTTGAATGCGCCGGAGAAGTCGGCGATGTACTGCCAGCTGACTCTGCGGCACCAGCTCGACGATCTCACCAACATTCCTCGGGACTGGGTGCAAAACTGCTTACATTTGAGTGAGTACTTTCTCAAACAAAACCAACTGCCCAAGGTATATAGATATATAGATATATACAGTCTCCGTGAAACAAAACGAGTCTTAACATAGTCATATAGGCGTCGCAATGCATTCACGCGTGCACGTCCGTGGGCCCCCAGCCCTCGGAGGAAGCGCAGATCGCCGCGAATTTGGCCAAGTTGTACATACAAACGTTGTATCTAGCCCAGCACGATATCGATTTGATTCCGGATACCGACGTGTTGTTCCCGAATATCCGGACGCGCGAGACCTTCATTTCGCCGTCGGACATCGATTCGTTTGATGCTGCGCGGGATGTGTTTAAGAAGGCGATGGCGGCGCTGGCTACGGCCAAGGTAGATACAAATTGACTACCATGTTCATATTGTGTCAGTGTCGTTTAGACCTGTTTTGTTTGGTACTTACTTTTCTTGTTTTGTGTGTCGTTAAGAGCCATTTTGTTTGATATACATACGACGACCAAATACTTTGATTGTGTTTATATTCGCTGTGGTGTCGTTTAGAGCTATTTTGTTTGGTACCTACGACGGACGACCAATGATATTTTTTTAATATTGTGTTTTTATTAAATATTCACTATATTTTTTATTTATAGACATTGTATTAAAATATAAACTATATATAATTAAAAATATGAATTATATATATCATATATGTAAAGTTTATCCGAGTTATCCCAGCCACATTGTGTTATAGTTAAGCGCTACTACTACATTGTTGGATCCATCAAATTTTGGTTGATATTTTTTGTGTGGTTTAGAGCTATTTTGTTTTGGACGGGTTTGTGACCGACCACATCCGGCTGCTGCAAAGCCAGAGCCAGTGCTATGCCAAGTTGATTCCATTTGAACCCGACCGCAAGCGACAGATGGCGATGCATCAGAAACGAATTGACTCTTATGGCGAGATCCTCCATGGCGAGTTCAACTTGAATGCTTATGGGTACCTTCTGCAGGAAGTGTACTACGAAGTGGGCGAGATCTACAGCATCTTGCACGATCTCAAGGTCGTGCATTTGACCAAACCGTACATGGAAACGAACGTAAGGTCTATTTTGTTTGACGGGGGCTCATGTTTCAATGATAAATTTTGATCAATTGTTTGGATATTTTTTGAATTTATTTAGCACTTTGCGGTCGACTCGATCCATTATTTCGAGAAATTCGTGCAATTGTACTACTACCAACAAGGAAAAACCGATGGGTTGGAGCCGCTGCCACCTCAATTGCACGTTCCGACGCATTTGGAAAGCGCACCTGATTTGAAGCCCTTTTTCAACGGCTTGTTCGTTTTAACCCGCGTATATGGCAAAGTCACGTTTCAAGACGACGCGACAACGGTGCGGTTTTGGACAAAATGGTACGTGTTTCAGTTTTCTGTACCATTTTTCGCTATTTTGGAGCATATTTTTGATCATTTCGTGTTGTTTTGGTTATATTAGTTTGGAAATGCATGAAAACCTGCTCCAATTGATCCCAGCGCTGAATTTGCCCGCGTTTTTCACGGACGAACTGGCGATTTCACACGAAATGCTCCTGCTCCTACCGGAAAAAATCAACCACCTGCACTATAAACGCCGCCGCCTTTGATAAAATAAAATAAATCGCTCAATATATATCAACCTGATATTAATTGACAAGTTCTCAAATTGTACCTATACATAGTACTATTAATATACTAGTAGTTAGTATCGTTGCTACTGTAGTATGTATTGTGCTTTGCGCACCTTTTTTGGTAATTACAGGGTTAAATTCATTGTTTAAAATTTTATCAGGCTTAAATAATGTCTAAAGTGACTTGAATAATGGTTGGGTGTGTTTTTTAAAGTTACTGGCTGCTTGAACGTGGTTTTAAGGCACTTTCGTAAACCATGTTGTTTGCTGCTACGAGTCGATTGTCGGAAAGTATACTGACCAATCGGATTCGATCATTTGTCGGTCATCCAATCACGGGGCCGAATTATGTCGGCTTTGTGTCGTGTCTCATATACCAGTTGATTTACTTCAACGTACGAACTCTTTTGTCCGGATATAAATAGGAATCAAGAGCTAAGTAGACAGTGTCACTGCAATAACCTTGCTCTTTGTATGTAGGAAGAGTATCTATCCGGATATAAATCACTGAGTCCATTCCCATCT